GCTCCCTGATTAGGGTTTTGATGCCACGTGGCAGCATCCGATTGGATCCCGTTGGGCCGTTGGTGGGCTGCCATGTGTCACGATTCTACTGGTCACGTGGCATAGGGTATTTTTACCCTAAACATATATATATATATTAAAATTTTAAATTCAAATGTTAACCGGACCCCCGTCCGGGAAAGTGATATAGAAATTCACGGCTCGCAGGCCGGTAAAAAGAAAATTTTAAAAGATCCTACTGCTACTGTTGCTGAGGTTCCTGTTGCTGCTGCTCTGGCTGCTAGCCCAAACCGGCATTTGGGGCATCCTGGATCTGCTGGGGTTGAGTTTCCTCACCCAGCACTTCTCCCTCTGCTTGATCATCCCCAATGCTGGCCCACTCCTTGAAAGGCGCCGGCTGCTTAAGCCCGAGTACTCGAGCATCAAATACTTCTGTTGCGTATTTGTACCTCAAGTCGAAGAAGGCATAGTCGGTGTCCGGGTGGATCATGGACCATGCCATCTTCATGCGCGCTTCGCAGTCGCGCTCATTCTCGGTGACCAGCCGGGTCTGATCAGCCGACAGCTAGTCCAGAGCTTCCTTTTTAGACTTAACCAGATTATTTCTTGGCTTTGTCCAGCTCCTCCCTCAGCCGGGTGACCTCATTCTTCAACCCGACTCTCTCCTTCTCCGCATCCTTCAGAGCTTGGATGTCGGTTTTGAGCTGGTCAATTTGGAGATGTCGGTCGGCAGCCGTCTTGTTGGCTGTATCAGCAGCAGCCGTCAGCTGCTGGATGAGCTCCTCTTGTTTCATCTCTCGGGCTTTAGTTTGGATTTCAAGCATTAGGGAGTTGTTTTGACAGACATTTATAAATTCGGCTGCCCTATTCTAGGCATCCCTTACCTCCTCTTGCCCCTTCCGCAAGGGGTTTTTTAACCCATCCACCCTCAGCAATGCCTGCAAGATCAGCCGGAAATGGAGTTAGCGAAATTCAACTAAAAAGCAACTGTCAGCTAGCAAATCTTGCACAAAAATACCCCGTCAGGTAAATAAGCAGATTGCACAAAAATACTCCATCCGGTAACTTACCTCAGCTAGCAGTGAGGTAATCCGGTCAAGGTTAACCTGGCTGATGCCAGGCACAACCTTCCTCTCGGACCGAGTTAGGGTCCTTAGCATTCTCTTGGCATAGTTTTGCATATCCGACCAACAAGAAGAGATATTTGCATCATGAGAGATATCGGTTAAGTGCTGGGAATAAACGGCTCCTATATTCAGCCGGTTCCCGACCGAGTCCCCCGACTGAGAAGCATGAGACTTGACTCGAACTGGCCCAAGCGGCCGGGGGGGGGGGTCAAAGGTGAAGTCCATACCTTGGTTATCAGGTAGAGGGGTGCCACCACCCCCAGCCGCATTTGAGCCGGATGCAATAGCTGGCACCCGGCTAGAAGGAGAAGGCTCCTTAGATCCAGCCTCAGCCGGCTCTGAGCTTAAGCCCAGACTTTGCAGACTTTATCCTGCGGTCGTGGGCCTTTCAGGAGCCGGTGTTCTGCCGGCTAAAGTTGGTGCAGGGCCGCCTGAGACCCTGCGCCTCTACGGAGGCGGTTGGGGGAGCTCCTCACCCGGCCTCCTCACCATCTGGCGCAGGGAGCGAGGAATGTTCTGGCTTCCCGTCTGTAAAAGACAATTAACAAGTCAGTATCAAAGTTATTTGCAAGATATACAAACGACATAAAGAAAGCTGGTGCTTACCCCGCTCGTTCGGGCCGCAAGCTGGGCTCGTTTTTGTTCAAGCTGCTCCTTCCTTATCTCGGCAGCTGACTTAGCCAGCGTCATTTTCGGAGGATTCATTTCTAGTCCTTTCTCTGCAAATAACAAGAAAAAATGTAAGAGCATTCAAGCATAGTACAGGCGGCATAATACGCCGGTTAAGCAGTAAACCTACGTTTGTCCCAAAAGGTGCTGAGACCGCAGGCGGAGAGGAACGCCTCGTCTTTAAACCAGTCCGGATGAGGGACCCAGAATTGGGGGACAATGATTTGTGTCCCATCATCCAGTGGCTCAGTGGTTTTCTTAAATAGTTTCGGCTCCATTATAGCATCCCAAGCCTCAACCGGCACCCTTGGTAGGGTGCACTTCTTTCCCAGTAGAACCGGGTTCTTATTGTAACGGCGCATCCGGTCATTAGCAGTCGTTGATGGGGAAGAGACGAAATAAAACTTGCTCTTCCAGCTCGTCCACTTGGAGGGTTTCTCCAAGGTCATCATATATTCCGGATCCGTAGTGAGAGTGTACCACGCATTCCAGCCGCCTGGGGCACAGCTCAAGTAGTGCATTTGCGCGAACGCCTCCCAGCTAGGCGTCACGTCCTGCATCTCGCAGGCGGCAATGTATCCAATGATGTTCACCCAAGAGTTGGGTGTGAGCTGCCAGACACCAAGGTCATAACCCCGTAGAATGACTTTAATTGTTCTATGGAGGGGGAACCGGAGGCCGGCTTTGAATGCCGCATCATAGCAGCCGAAGTAATTGTCGGCATGCTCCTGGTCGTCTTCCCAGACGACGGTTGTTGTAGCAGGCGGGACGCCAACCTCCCATCCGGCTCCAACCGGGCGCTTTTCCAAAAATGCTGGGAGTGTTGCGTTTAACGTCACAACATCCCAGGCGCTCATGTGCGCCTCCATTGGATTGTTTATTGAAGGCCAGTTGTATGCCTCCTCATTATCTTGAGGGGCATCCGGTGTCATGGTAAACTCTGTAGATCTGGCTTCCTGATCGGTTTCTTCACCACTTGAGCTCCCGGATTCTTCAAGAATCTCATCACCAGGCGTACTCGGAACGCCTGGTTGATCAAAGGGAACATCTTCAACCGGAGATCCGGCTGAATCATCTGACTTGCACTCGGGGTCAACAGTCGTTTTCCTTGTCCGAGTCATTATGTCCTGCACAAGAACAGAGACGGTCGGATTCGCAGAAAAGTAAGGGTGTTCCATACACCCCCAGACGGCATCCCCAGTCCTAGATTCAGCCATATCCGGTGACCGGTTGACAACTGCCCTAGGCCGTGCCATGTGTGTATTGGGAGAGTCCATTATTCTCTAACCTATACAACCGGTAAACTCAAGAGGTTACAAGGGGGCAAAGGCGATACCTTGAATATATGAAGACGTCTGAAGAAGACTTGGTTGAGATTCCAAAGTGTGGCTTGAAGATGCCACAGGCGGAGCAGTCAGTTCACGTTTAAATACCTGAAGCACAAAGACAAACAGTTAGGCATTTTGGAAGAAAATCACCCAAAGATACCCCAAGCGGTATAAAAAAATCTTGCTCAAAGATACCCCAAGCGGTATCAAGGAAGCTTGCCTAAAGATACCCCAAGCGGTATTAAAAAATCTTGCTCAAAGATACCCCAGGCGGTATCAAGGAAGCTTGCCCAAAGGTCCCCCAAACGGCATATAGGCCGCCTGAGGTTCTAATGAATTAGGTTGCAGAGCATTGTTCAAAGACCCCCCAGGCGGGATCGATAAAGATTGCCTAAAAGCCCCCAGGCGGCGATAATACCGGCTGAGGGTCTTATGAATGTATATAAAGTTATGATGAAAATTACTTAGAAATGCCCAGGCGGATTATTGCCGGCTGAGGGTTTTATAAGAGCAGATCATGAGCAGGTTATGAAGAAAATTGCTCGAGCATACCCTAGACGGATTAAGTCCGGCTGAGGGTATGATGGATCCTAAGTTTCGAAAAGCAATTGTCTGAAGACAACCCAAACGGTCCAAAACCGTATGTGGGTCTTGACTTGAAGATCCTTTGTTTGAAAATACCCCAGACGGCTCCTAGCCGTCTGAGGATCTATGAAATGCAAGTTTTTGATAAGCTATTGTCTGAAGATGCCCCAGACTGCATGTAACCGTTTGTGGGTCTTTTGAATGCAACTCCTTGAAGACCATTGTTTAGAGATGCCACAGGCGGTATATCACCGTCTGTGGGCCTATGGGATGCATTATTCGAAAGTCCATTGTTTGAAGGTACCTCAGACGGTCATGAAGACCATGGTTTGAAGATACCCCAAACGATCCAAACCGTCTGTGGGTCTACCAAATCCAAGACATGAAAGAAAGGGCTTAAGGTGCCCTAGACGGTTTAAAGCCGCCTGTAGTTCTACTCAAATCAAGAATAAATCAAGAGCCAGACAGTACCTGGATGAGTTGATTGAAGAAGCACTCAACCGGTATCCGGATGTGTTCAAGCAAGGAAGCTAGGTGCACAATTAAGCAGCCGGTATCAGAGCTCTCAAGAGAATTTTTTGCAAAATGTGTAAAGTGAAGAGAAGAGAGGGGGTGCGCCTCTATTTATTGACAAGCCCAGAAGGCGAATCGCCACCTTCTGCCTCAACTTTTCAAAATTCGAATCCAAGAAAGAGGCGGGAAGCAAATCAACTGTCGCCTCCCCTGTGCTTGACACCTGTCACAGGTGACACGTGGCTACGCCACGTCACACCTGTGAGGGGCAAATGTTTAGGGTAAAAATACCCTATGCCACATGGCCCAGTAAAATCATGACACGTGACAACCCACCAGAGGCCCAACAGGATCCAATTGGATGCTGGCACGTGGCAATATACCTCCAATGGGGGAGCAGATCCTCATCTGCTATAAATAGGGGAAAAATCCTCATTTATTACCCATTCATAAAATACATACACAAATCCCGAGTAATATTAATTGCGGAATCTCCCTGAATCAGAGAGAAACGCCCATTTACTTTCCGCACGCTTACTCATCCGGAATCGTACTACTTGATCTTTGGAGGCGGAACTCCACCCAACCGGAGTTTCGTGGTTTTGCAGGTACAGAAGTCAGGCGCTCATACCCAATATTGTAACTCTCCCGAGGGACTAAAAACACCCGAAACAACCTCTATGACCTAGACGAAATTAGGCAATCCCTTCGCCTTGCTAACAAGGCATCACGAGCAATTAGACATCTTGAAGGTGACACCATGGTTTTGCTGCAAATCTAAACAAAAACTAAACGAAACCAAATACATTTCAATGTTATCAACGGAAAGAAGTTCTGCATCATATGAAAATCAAGCTCAAGATTCAAAGCGTTCTCGCCATACAACCAAATAAAATAAACATAGACGAGTCACAAATCAGTCATTCAGACAGAAAGAAAATGTAATATTAATCTCTCACACAAAGCCTAAACTTCGTTTGCAACTGAAACAAGTCTTCAAGTATGCAAAAAGGTTTATATGGTTCAGAAGATATGACCAATCTGGCTTCTTAGCATGTCTGAACACTGGCAGGATATGTTCAACCACTTCGACATCCCGCGGCAAAAACTCCACAGCTTCAGCGGAAAGTTAGAATAGAGCTCCTAAAGAAGAATCTTCGGGAGCTGAGATAGCAAAATATCAGGCACAGGCTGTGGTGGAGTCATGTGCAATACTTCTACGTCCCCAGCAAGTCCTTACTGCAAACAACATTATAATTAAGTCATACAGTGTCATGCAAATCCAAGAGTTAGAAGTTACCATATTCAATTAGCATGATTCCAGCTAACCTTAGGTAAGAATCTCCATATCAAGGGAGCATTTGATAACTCTATCACTAGCCTTTTCCAACAAATATCAACACCAATACCTAATGCCAACTTTGTCAAATTGAAAAATCTAGGTAGATTCAGATCATCCACACATAGCAGCTACACCCCCCATGAAATTCATATATTAGCATCAACACAATGACAAACCACAACAATTATTCTATGATAACCATCATTAGGCAGCGCGTGTCTATAAAAAAAACAAATAAATGTACTTGAATTATGTCTTGAGACAGCGAAAGGAACTTCACTTTTGCTATCCATTTGAAGAGATAAATGACACGTTGCTGACAAAGACTAGTGACTTTAGGAAGAACACCAGTTTGGCAGAGATCCAATTCCACATTTATTAAAGCTCCCAAACTCTTTACCACAAAATTATCTGATATACGACCTTTGACTTAAAAGTACTCATGATTTGGGGCGTTGATGACAAATTTGTATAGGCAATCTACCTATATATCAATCACATATTTATGACTAAAAGAAAGTCTTATCAATGTATATATGGAGATTTTTATCACCCATGGCTGCTCCCTTGTGGTTTCTTCTACGACCAACTCTTCATGATAGCTTGAAAGCAACCTCTGAATAGATTAGTCATCTAGGTACACCATTCTCCTAATCTCAAGGACCTTAAGCTTAGGGAAACTAACAAAAGAAGGGACAATAAGAGGCATACGAGATAATTTCAACACCACAAGTGTACAGCGCATGAAAAAGTTCTTAGGCAACATCATTAATTCCATTAAAACTGACAAGCAGAAGTCAAGATTGAGCTCCAAAATACAATGGGAAATGCCCACTTGCAACCATGTAAAAATAGGAGCAGCATTATAATGACAATCGTAAACAAGGCGAAACTTTTGAATATTAGGAATGCTATTCAGAAGCATTACTCTATTAACAACATTTCGGAAGGTGATCTCTGATTCCAGAAATACATTCATGTTGAAGATAGAATTGAATCCACCATGAAGCCTACCATCAAAGTTGAAAACAGGAACAGATGTCCAAAGATATCTCCATCTAGTTGACAAAACACTAGTCCCTACAGCATATTTAGTTGGGAGAAACGACAGGATATGACAAAGGATATGGTTAGGCAAATCACTAATCCTATCTACACCTTCATTAGCATCAAAATCCATCAAACCTCTTATTTGTGAGGTAAAAGAAACAGAAAAGATAGAAAGAGAGAGAAATTTATTTAAGTATCAATGTATTTGGTAAGAGAAGTATTTTCATTATTCAAGTAAATTTTATAAAAAGGGGGCTGCAATAAGAGCAAGCACGGAAAGGGTAAACCCAATAATTTTTAAGCTGAAATACTGTAACAAGTGACTTCAGGGATCCATTTGGCAGGATTAACTCATCCGTTATCATGCAGAAATGAATACAGTTTGACCATGGCTAGACGACATGGCCACTTTTTCCTTACGTTACAGTTTGGTGAAGTAGAAAGTAACATGAAGTCTTGCTGCTTTAAATGATTCTGAATAGCACCACTCAAGGCATTACAATTTTTTTCATTCACTAATCCCCAAATCCTACTCCTTTCAGAAGTAACACAAGAAAAAAGAAAAGAAAAAAGAAAAATGACACGCAAATAACAAAAGGTATAATAGAAACATATGATAAGCGCATGTTAGAAGAAATTGAAGAAAAAGAGAAGGCGAGAAAGAGTCAAATATAGAAACAAACGAAGGATCACAAGATACTATGTCAAACAAACACTCTGGGTGCAAGTCTTCATTATGAATGGAAAACACGTGAAATATTTTCTCTGAACATTATGAATGGAAATACAAAATTCCAATATATACTTCATCATCAGTTTCAGAATTAAAACATTCCAGATTTCTGATCTTCATACAAGACTCTACAAAAATCAGAAGGTGCAAGGTACTAAAAGAAAATGAAGGAATTGAATGACATTTGCAGTATAAGAAAATAAAGAAAAGGGGGAAAAAAAAGGATGATGAAAATGTTAAAAGAAACTAAGGGGCAATTCTCAATATTAAATTTCAAGATTATCCTAAAAATTTCAACATTTCCTTGTTCACTTTGGGTGCAAGTCTATAAATTGTAGACTAAAAGAGAAGATGCAAAACATATTTTCTTTAAAATTAAAATGGATGTAGATAATTACCATGGTATCGTAAGCATGACAGGAACTAGATGTCTAGAAGTACCAACTACCAAGTGACATCTGTGAACTAAGCTCTCGTTCTAACCCCTTAGTCCTTAGGAATGCATTCTAGTAGCAGATTTGAAAATTGTTTTCTCAGAGTAACCACTGAAACTTTGATTCATAATTTTGTTGGGCATTTTAGGTCATATCCCTAGTATTCACGGATAAAATTATTGGTCAGAAGTATTCAAAAGTTTTCTTAGCAATAAAAACTACTAGAATAGCTAGAATAATTCTCAAATACCCACAAAACTATGTGCTATAATTAATTCTAAATACCGGGGTACTATTTTAGAAGTACGAGGAAAACCGGAAAAGAAAAATGAAAAAGAAGAAACACACAAAAGAAATCAAGTATGGAAGTTCTTAAACTCTCACAATCTTCACAAGATTTTAAAAGGAAACAGAGAAGTTAGACCCCTATAAACTAATCTGTCAAATAATTCCTTGTATGTCATTTACTTCCTTTTAATCAACAAACCATTAGGAAAACCAGCACACCCTCCAACTCAAACTTTTCCCAACTTCTAAATTTTCGATTCACAACACAACAAAAAAACAAAATCAAATATTAGCATAGAAGGAATCAATTTCAAAAAGTAGGGAGCACACATAGGATCCAAAATGACCAAGACCTCAAGTGCAAACACGGATTTTCCAACGAAATAACACAAATGAAAGCTTTAACATCAGACCATGGATTATTCTAACATGATCCATACCTTTACATACATATTTTACATTATTAAGTCATGATATACATCACAATTAAGGATTACTTCTAATCTAACTTGCTACCACATGAACCAAAGAACTCTATCCCTAACCTCTAGCTTGTCCATTTTAAAATTTTTTTTAACAAAAATTAGGGAAAAGGAATAAAATTAAAGAGGAACTAAAGGATGATTGAGCAATTAGCCCAATTCAACTAGTTTAACATAAACTGAAATGAAGCCATAATTTATGAGCCAGTAATAAAAAGATATAGTATCAAGTAGTTCGGAAACAAAATTTATAAAGACACAGTTTCAGAGTGATATATACCCAATTTTCCAGTTCTCCAAACAATTCAGTTCAACTCAGATTAATTCAGTTTAAAGGTCATTCTCATCTAAAAAAGATACAACTTTCAGTAGTCCTTCAAAAAAATTCACTTTTCCCAAAAAAAATAAAATCGAAAATCCTTTTATGACTAAGTCTAGGCGAACAAGTGGTTCATGCAAAACCCGGTATATAGAAGTCCAGCCCTTGTACAATGTTCATTCACAAAAAAGACATAACCATCACACAACCAAAATACAAGCTTTGAGCCATAAAAAGCAATGTAACTGATGGAGAAAAATATGTGAGAAGCAAAACGGAAGCATATATTACTGGCAATAAAAATAAAGCAGAGCACACTTGACTAAGTCAGTAAAAAATCCATCCAAATAACACAATGGAATTCAAGTTCTTTGTCCAAGGACTGGCAAGTCAAAACAAAATAAATTGGTGTCGAAAGAGGAAAGCTTACTGAATCTTCACTTCAATAATTCTATTATGTCTAGTCTACCACAATAAGGAACTTGCATAAAAGCTTTGCTAAATTTCAATAGTGTTGAAGTTAAAGGATGTCATAAAATGACAAATTTTGGAGAAATGCATTTCTTTGATAATAGCCCAACTATAAGCCTCCATTCAGATTTTTGAGGTTTATTTTGTACTCCCTCCGTTACACATTACTTGCAACAGTTTCCAAAAATAAGTGTTACACAATAATTGCAACAGTTTTTCTATTTCTTTTTTATGGTAAAATTTTTCACATTTAATTACTTAGGTCCCCACCCCTTTTGTACTTGTTTTTGTTTTTTCCTCTCTTTTCCTCTTTTTTCTCCTAATCACATGTTATTTCTCTCTCCTACTTTTACCAAACTACACCTTTATCCATCATTAACAAATTTTGCCTAGGATTTCCCCCAAGCCAATTTGTTGCAAGTAATGCGTAACGGAGGGAGTAAAAAGGATGCAACCATCCCTTTGCAGTCGTTGATGGTGCCAATCATAAAAGTCTTTATTCACTTATAAGGAACTAAGCAAAACATGACGACATTTATTAGTAGAAAGGAATGGTAAATTCATGAAAGTTCAAATGCTTTGGAAGGTTACCTGCATGGTAGATCTATCAATTGTATAACACAATCAGAGGATGAACACTTTTTAGGAAGGGGTTTGGAGCAGTGGCTCCAAGTCCACCTTTGATTCTTGTGTTCACGGGTTCGAATCCTCATATTCCCCCAACTACCCGCCCTTGTGGCTCATTTGCACCAAAAAAAAGATGGTGAACACTTTTTCTGTAATAGCCCTTTCCTCATGCAATTTATATATATTTATAGGCTAAATGGCAAAAAAAAGGACAACCTTATTAGTCCAATGCATGGACTTTGCATAACAAGCTAACAACATCCATTAAAAGATACAGATCATTCCCTCATCAAATTCGCACGTAATTGTGATGATACCAGTGAAAGTTCAACAAGCAAACACGATAAACATCTTTTGGCAAAAGACCTCAATAAATAACAATAACATTGGGCAGTATATCAGTGTAAAGCATAAAAATAGGTAGCTTACACAAATGTCATTGGAACCCCATCCTATATGGAAAATAGAAAAGGCTAAACTTACATTTTGAAGATTCAAGTCTCGAACTCTTTTTGCCAATTATACTATAGAGAAGCTCAAGTCATAGCCTTGGAAAGTTTAAAAAACCATCAGTCGGTCAGCTGCACACATTAAAGTTACCAAGGTGTAAGAGATTGAGAGCTAGAGCCTTTCAAACTTGTCATACACTAAGTATTAGTTCACTGGAAGATATGTCAAAGGTTAACCTGTTTAAGAGTTGAACAAGTCACCAGCATAAGCCCTCAGCTGTCACTCCTTAAATTGTTGAATTGTAAAACAAATTTCCATTCCTGCAAATAAGAAGCTCCTTAAAAAATGAACTTGAGTTGTAAAGACTGCAGAGTCATCACACTGTCGAATTCTTGAACTTCTGGAAATGTCATTGGCAGCAAACCCGCCCAAGTGTGTAGTAGAGATTGATTTTGAACATGATTTACAATTAGTTAAAGAAAAATTTAAGCTTTAAATTTGACTAAAATCAAAGATGCAGTTGACCAAAGCATAAGACTTCAAATGAGAAATTGTTGTCAAAGAATCCCCACAGCATCAACACCTAAACATGACTACCTTTAATATTAAGCTCTGGTTCCCTGAACTTTTTGTGCCTACAATAGCTACCTTCAACTAGGAAAGTAGAATGTTATAATTTTTCAACACACCCAAAACTGTAAGTTGTAAAGTTGATTTACACAATGGTACCTATCTCCCCTTAATTCCATTGTTTTGTATTCTTTAAGACATCTAGTCATCAGATAATGTATCTTTACTTGAAATACTTCAATAAGTATGATCATTAACTAACTTGAGAAATCTTTAATCATATAAGGTACCGCCAAGTAAGTGATTCTAAATACACAAATTGAAAAACCCAAAACACCCTTGATTAAAAAAGGGAAAAAATTAAAAAAAATGTTATTCCTTGGTCAGCTTTCCTTCATTGCTAATTGCATTCTACAAATTGTGTCGCAATCTTGGCTTGTCAATAAATTATTGACATGAAGTTGCATTTAGTCATAAACTCATAAAGTCTTGCAATTGCAGAAAACCAAGCTATTGTTTTCCCTAAAGTTTTACTCCGTAGTTCCTATGTCATCCCATATACCCAAATTTATGCATCATGAAAAGTCAGCGCTAAAATTCACCCATAGAATGCACAATGAAAAGATGCAATATCACAACTACACTGGATTTAAAGTGTTCATATTCGCAGTAAATATCAGATGGTCATGGTAGCGACAAGCACAATACTGGAAAATTAGAGCAGAAAACTCACAGGGTTGGGGTGTACAATGGTAGTTATTTTTCTAATTTAAGGGTAAAAAAGAGTTTTCCACTTTTGCATCTAATAACTGCATTAAGAAACTATGATATATAATCACAGCATCCCACCATCCACATGGAAGCATCCTCCAACATCAATATGGTGTGCTTCATGAATATATGACCCAAATAATTTGTAAATGTCTTCTTAGTACTTCCTCTGTTTATATTTATTTTTTCTCTCCATCTCTGTCATACCCTTAAATTGCATTGGAGTTCAAAAAAAAGTGTAACATCTAATAAAAAGAAATGGAGGACGTAATATTCCACTCGTGAATGGTAGCATATGACCATTTTTCATACAATCTAGACTAGTTACTCGAACTCACCTTCAGTTTAGAGAACTAATAACCCCAAGCAGTAGTTCTTCAACGTCAAGGCCCTAGTTGTATTAAAAATATCATGTACTCTCATTGTCCCATCTTTGTTTGCTTCTCAGTTCTCAAGGGTAAATATTCCTTAGCTTAAGCTACTTGGTTTACTGAAACGGGGTTCCCTAAGAACTTGAAATCAAATTGTTTTCAAGTTCTTAAAAAAACCATAAAGGAACAGCTAACCACAAGGGGGATAGATAAATCTTACTATCAACACATATGTTGAAAAGTTTCTCTTTAGATAGCTTTGTGATACTTATAACAGCTGTTTGACCCTAGGAATTTCTCATCAATGCCCAAAATGTAACAAAAGTCATGACAAAGGTGTTTTCAATTGTCAATTGCGTTTGGCACAATTTGGAATCTTTGAATAATATGCTTCTGTATCTCTACAACTTTTCTTGCTGAAATTTAGTCTGTCATCCAATGACTATGCATCAAATGACATGATGCAAATCAAACAAATTCTCATGCTGAAATCTTTGGGATGTAGTGATATCAACAGCTGACATCAAAGCCACTGGAAAGTTATTCAAGTGTGATTAACTGTGGGAAAACCCTTGCAAAGATTTTACAAGAAATTGGATGAACATGCGTAATCAAGTCCTAAGGATGATGTACACAAATATAAAAACAGCTTCAAATGTAACAAACATATACTCCCTCCGTCCCATAAAGATTGCAACATAGAGAAAATGTTATTTTTTATGTTTTGTGAGAAGAGTTTTAGAGAGAGAAAATAAGTTGGGCCCAAATTTAGTTTTTGTTAAAGTAAAGTGGTGATCCCACATAGCATTTATAGAAACCTTGCAATCTTTTTGGGACATCCAAAAAGGAAAATGTTGCAATCTTTTTGGGACGGAGGGAGTAACAAATTAAAATTTTTTAAAAAAAAAACAATTTTTTTTTTTTTTTTGTTTAACTTTGAGTCTTCACCGATAAAAAAATCCTTCACATTTGACAGATTTTCAGCATGAACCACAACACTTGACTTGGATACAGAATCTTATTATATATTTTTACATCTTAAGAAGTTGCAAAAAACCTTGGTATCTTTCACTCAAATTGTATAACCTGATTTTATCGAACAAGCCATATATTGTTACTGCTAGGAAATCCACAGTCGGTTATTAAATTATGTTTAACACGGATTTCAAAATGGAGAGAGTACCGAATATTAACAAAGATAGTCAAATTTATCCAGAAACTAAAGGATAAAAGTTTGGAACATTGTTTAATAAAATTAAAGATATACTATTCAAACATAGTAACTCATATACTAGAACATAACTACTTAGCTTGGATGACTCATGATCAAAACTCAAAAGTAATCAACCTCAATGAGTACTGGAAAATTCAAATTCGGAACCAAAGTCCAAAACAACCATTTACATAAAAGCTTGTAAATTCGAAATCATGATCATTTTTATTCTCCTTAACACAACTTTTATTTCCATATCCAACATCTTGTGTTCATGGCTAAGACCAATAATCTTGGTTAACTCCTTCATAAGCTCTAACCTCAACCACAAGACTTTCTCACGCCCATCTCCGCCAATCCCGCCTACAACGATGTGTTTTCCGCTATAATGTTGTAAGAAGTTATTCTATGATACACTGGTTACTTCACTAAGCAGTCAGTCATTCAATCTCAATCCACAATTAATGTTGATAAATTTCATTCCCAATTGTTATTCAAAGGGTAACTGCTCTATATTTAGCATCTTATAACAGTATTAATCAACTAAGACCTTCAATTAGGGTTTCCCAAATGCAATTGTACAACAGTTTTCCAATCTACTTGTATAATCAATGATCAATTAACACTACATAAATCGCTAAAACCCAAAAGTCTAATCAGAACAGAAATTATACTGATTTTGGCAGAAAATATAAGCAAATTTCAGAAGCTCATATAATGGCATAAACCTTAAAAGATAAAAAAAATTCACAAAAAATGATGAAAATTATTTGCATGGAAAGAAAAATTACCAGAGCAATTGAAGAAAGGTAAAGGGGTCAATCGTTGACTCAATATCATCACTGAATTCGGAGTTTCTTTGATGATTTGTAATGTTTGATTTCGAACAAAAACCGGGTTTCATCTCTGTTTTTTTCTTACTACTATTTCTCATTTTTCCTAAATTGTGGAGTTGAGCAATGAGCAGAGCAGTAGCACGAAGCTTAATTTGTCTTGAGAACTCTTAATTAATCTTTTGCCATTTTTTTTTTGGCAATTGGTAAAACAAGATATAAGACAAGTGGAACATCAAATTTTTTAAAAAAAATTTCCCCTTAATGAGCCGTATTTGGATCCTTTAAAGTTCTAAAATAACTCTGCGTGGTAGAGTTTGTGCAATATAAATCATTCATTAAAATAATCAATGACTTTTATTATTGAGTTTTGCTAATCATATAAATTGATCTTAATAAATGGGAAAAATTCAAGTTTATCTCTAAAATAAACATGAAAATATATCTCCTCTCACAAAATATTATTTTACTTTTATTTTTTAAATAATAAAAGTGATATAGTAAATGGCACAGAAATAAATGTAGAAAGTTGTGAGAGGAAATTAACTTGAAATGTTAATCTCAGAGATTAACTGGGGCTCCCTCTAATAAATGTCAGATTTCCATTGAAAAGTTAAATATACATTTATTATATAAAAAGATTCAATTGAAAAATATATAAAAACAATTTCATATAATAATTGTGTATTTCATTTTTCAATGAAATGTTTTCATATAAGTGTATATTTCATTTTTCAATGCAGTTTATAATTTTTATGCATAGTCCTAAAGGCTATGAATAGCAAAGCCCTTTATTATTTACTTCCTCCGTTTTTTATTATTTACTGCCATAACTCTTAAAAATATTCTCTATTTTTCCTCATCAAAACTCACCTCTTTAATTTTTTCCTCCCATGAATATGAACCCTTGATTTTTAAATTGTGTGATCCAGTTTCAACACTATAAAGAAGAGTTTTAACAATCATTACAAACAGTGAAAATGCTTTCCAACTTGTGACTTTGGGCCTGTTTACTCTAACTTATTTTCAGTTCAGTTCAGTTTAGCTCCGTTTAGTTCAGTTCAGTTTATCCAACTTCATCTTAATTATATTGCTAATTAATTTGTTAATGATAATGATGATGATGATAATAGTAATATTGATAATAATTATTATTATAACAATGATAATAATAATAATATTAATAATAGTAGTTGTTGTAATAATAATAATAATAATAATAATAATAATAATAATAATAATAATAATAATAATAATAATAATAATAATCCTAAGTTAAACATTTCAGTTCAATATCACTAATCCCAAGATATATCATTATTCAATAGTTAAATAGTTCATCCTAAGTTAATATTTAATACCAAGATTTAATAGTTAAATATTAAACTTAAGATTAGTACTAATCCTTAGTTACATAGTTAAATATTAATCCCAAGATATATCATTAATCAATAGTTAAAATTTTCAGTTCACTTCTGTTTAGTTAAGCTCCGTTCAGTTCAGTTTAGCTCTGTTTTGTTTAGTTCATTTCAACAGTTTTCAGTTAATGTAAATGAGCTCTTTACTGCATAAATCTGGCATGCATCTCATGATCCCACACTATGAGTGGGCATCTATGGTCACTCACAAGGTGTATTTGTCCTTTCACTTTTAAAATGAGGTCATTGATGTAGTTTCATAAGCAATATTTGGTCCCCGCTTGATATCTATGCCACATGAAAGGTATCAGTGCATTTTTTATTTTTTTAATTATAGGTTCCACCAATGAATAAACAATATTACTATTGCAAACTTCATAAATACCCTTTTGTTATGCATTGAAACTATTGTAAATACATAGATACAATTCTTTTGAGCATAGATACCATTTGACATTGCATAGATTTTTCGTGAGAGACCATCTTATCCCACGTATAGTGTTGGAAGGATGCTTCCTCTAGATGTTATTGGTTTGAATTGATTTTAAGTTTTCATATTCATACTTTTCAAAATGAAAAAGGCTATTCTTTTAAGTTTTATCATTTTTTTATTTATAAAATAGCTACTACATACGGTACAATATACTCCCTCCGATTTTTAATGTTTTGTGCAATTTTTTCATTGGACTGATTTTTAATGTTTTATGCATTGTGTATTTGTGTTTTATTCCATTTTGGTACATTCTCTCTCCAATCTATTTTTGCTTTTTAACCCACTTTCTCTTACTTTCCTCACTTTCCCTTACTTTTCCCCTTTTCGAACACTCTCTTTCCAATCTATTTTTACTTTTTGACTCCACTCATATTATAATACATTATTCCTAATATTTTTCCCTCAAATAGTAAATTCATAGAACATAAAAAATCTGAGTAAGTAAATACTTCCACCGTTTCATTTTATTCGCAACAAATGGACTCTCGCGGATAAAAGTATAAATGGATTTTGAAAAATCCAAAGTCCAATCCAATCCAAATTTTCATACTTGGATCGGACTTTTATGACCATCGGATCAGACTTGTACTCAAATTTCAAAATCCAGACTCAAGCCTTTAGAGTCCAAAGTCCAAATAAGAGTCCAAATTTATAAATTTTTTTTAAAAAATGTTTATTTGTAAAATCTCATTTGAAGGCTTTAACAAATCTACAAGTATAAGAATGAAAAAGAACCAATAAGATTGTTAAATTGTAGATTTTTAGACATGAAACAGAGTATTCATACAACCAGAAAGTATATATAAAGATCAGATATCTATAGATATCAAACTGAACTTTTTTCCTAATATTGTCAAAATAATCGTTATTGTTGTCAAATTCTTTCTCTCATTATCAAAATTTTTTTAGTTTTGTCATTTGATTTTTTTATTGAAATTATACATTTAACCGACACATGGGTCCACATTTGACTACTTTTATGATTTTTAACATGCGCTTAGTACACTTGGAGTTTTGTGATTGAATGTGTCTTTAATTTTTCTTTTTTTAAAAAAAAATTGGTGATAAAAAAGGGTGTGAAATGACCCAAATGTCCAAGATATCAAAAAATATCTGATATCAATTTATTATTAGTCTTGTTCATACAGCACAATCTAATAATGGTCAGTAAAGTATTCTTGATCCAAAACATAGAAAATTGGCATTATTTTAATACAACGGTTATTTCACCAAATGCCACTGAGTACTTAAAAAATTCATCAAATGCCATCGTGTTTTTCAAAATTCACCAAATGCCACTAAGGTTTAGTAAAATATCACCAAATGTCATTTCCGTTAGTTGACCGTAAGTGTCTGTTAATTGACCATTAGTTGACCCTACCACTTGCCACGTGTCACTTTCTGATTGGTCCGTTATTTAAAAAAAAATAAACAAAAAATAGAAAAAAATAACAAAAAAAATAACAAAAAATTAGAAAAAAAAAATTAAAAAAACCTAAACCTGTTGCCACCACCGGCCAGCCGAAGAAGACACCGCCGCACCCCTTTGCCGCCGGGGCTAACACCGGAAACCCCACCTTACCCCTAACCCGAAACCGCCAACCCAACCACCGGCTGTTTCGGCAGCGAAATCCGACAATTTTTCAAGGCAAGAAACCGAAAGATTTCGCAAGTTGAAGACCAACAAATTGAACGACGAAACCAACAGACCAACAGGAAATGGGGAAGAAAGGGCGAGGAAGGAGATGGGGTGCCGGGAAGGGGAGAGGGCAGCAGGGGGGGTGGCCAATTGTGGGTTATGGGCTAGTAGTGGGTCATGTTGGCGGTGTGTTGAGGATGGGGGTCGCTGGTGGTGGGGTTGAGGGGGGTGACTGTTGTGGTGTTGGTCGGAAGTTATGGAGGAAAGGGAGGGTGGTTGTTTGGGGTTTCCTGTTTTTCTTTTATTATTATTATTTTTAATTTTTTTAAAAAAAAATTTTAATTTTTTTTTTTAAAAAACAAACCAATCATAAGGTGACACGTGGCAAGTTGTGGGGTCAACTAACGGATACAAACGGCCAACTAACGGAAGTGGCATTTGCTGATATTGTAATAAACCTCAGTGGCATTTGGTGAATTTTGATAAACACAACGACATTTGATGAATTTTTTAAGTACTCGGTGGCATTTGGTGAAATAGCCGTCAATACAAAAAGGTAAGTCTATGACAAGAGAAAAATTAGGGTATGACTAGATGAGAGGAGTTTAAGCTTGTCATCAAATCAGACCATCAAGAAAAACATGAGCTTAGGATTTGATAAGCAAACTTTCTGCTTCTTTCCTCCCTGATTTAAACAAAATGGATGATAAATATCGTTCACCGAAGCTTGGGAATATAGCCTGATAAGTTAAACAATGAATTCCCTCTATTAGTTGTAGACCCATATTTTTAATCTAATTAGTTGTTCAATTAATATAATTTCTTATATATATATGTGTAATAAATCTACAAATATTGAACAATAATTGTATAATCATTATAGTAGTAGACTTGTAATTCCCTTTAAATAAATGCCTTGCAGATATTGAGCAGTTTATATGGCATATGGCAGAAAATCAATGTAAAATATGACATGCCATTGATACATTAAGATGATATAGTACAACAAAAAGAATCATGATAAGTGATACCACTAAAGCAAAACACAATAATCTCCGAAACAAATGAATGTCATCTACATCAACATTAGGGTCACAAAGCTTCAGCTATTGTGCAGAGGCGTAATCGCTGCTTAGTATGATAATCAAGGATTAAAGGTGCTTGTAGTTGCGTCCACAGTGGAGAATATGCTACTTTGCAGAACTCATTAAGCTAGTTGAAACAGTATTACGCATTATGATGAAGCAATGAACATTAATTTGCAACACATTAGGAGCGAAACTATACAGATCCTATTCAAGCAATGCAAAAAACCAAAACAAAGTGCTCACAGAAGGGTTGGTACCTGGAGTGGTTGCTTGAAGCCTTATCAAGTATCAGCAACCTTAACTCAATTACAGATGAAAAGATACAACAACAGAATCTATTCTGAAGAATACACTCCTGCATAAACAGTATAAGGCTTTATGATGAAGCAATGAAAATTAATCTGCAACAGTATTTTGCATTATGATGAAGCAATGAACATTAATCTGCAACACTTGGTGGAAACATATACACTTTAGCTGCAAGGAAGTATGTGTGTGTGTGTGTGTGTGTATGCGTGTGTATCTGAAAAGTTACATGTAAGAAAGCCAGACTTGACATTGTGACATGGAAAAATCAATAATTGAAGGATGGTTAAATTGGTATTGAGTTATTGATCACAATGGTTAGTTTGGTATT